TTTGAAAAATACTTTATATTAGTATATATAAGTAAATATATGTCACACATTATTACTGGATAAATATTCATTCCTTCTTAGATGTTTTTTTTTCTCTCGGTGCCAAGAAGGTTTGTAAGTTACATTTGAAAATACTTTCGCGTCAATGAAAGAGAGTTCAGAATATGAACTTAAATTTCCAAGATAAAAGATCGAGGATCAAAGGATCCATTGACACAAGCGACGTCGTTAAGTGGATCGCGGCGGGTGCCCCCATGGACGATAAATCGTGATAATCACCACGGAATATCCTAGCCGGGCATTGCGCGGTTGGTGTTGGCGCGTACGTAGGATTCGGGTCAGTGCATTCGCGGAAACACCTGAATTTTGCAGTACCGTTAATTACGCCGACTAACGCACACCTACCTGCGAATCGCCACGCCACGCGTTCCTGGGCAGCACGCGGCAAACATTTTCATCGTAATTAATATTCCCCGGCGCGTGCGCTTAATCTTTATGCTTGTTTGCGGGCCACGCAACGACACACGAATGAAGCTTTTTAATGGGGAAAAATTTTCGGGAAAAGAGAGAGAGAGAGAGAGAGAGAGAGAGAGGAAGAAAGTAAGAGAGTGGATTCATCTATGGACGAGATGATACGTTTTTCTTTCTCGCGCCGTCTTAGTTACCCGCGTTCGTATTGCTGCATTTTAGTGATTCATTATCGACTCGCAAATATACATTTTCACGTTGTAAAATAATAAAAAAGTTTTCATCCGTGCGTGCGATTATTTTCTTCGGAGCAATATGTAAATTTTTATGTAAATTTTTTATGTAAATTTTTTTATGTAAATGTATCCCAATTATTTTATTTAGTACTCGAAAGCACAAAGAGATCTATCTTCATGTGGCATGTTCGCAACGATTGACATCACATTGGCATTGGTAAATTTCATGTAACGAAATCGTTATTCGAAACTCAAAATTCCAAGCAAGATATTCAGGTTTTAATTTAGAGTTAGAAGCGTGATTTTTTCAATGGAACCGCGTGATTACAGATATCACGTCATATATGATTCTCAACTGAGAAGCTCAGATCTAATTCTACATTTAGACCTGAATTTCTCACGCGGGACAAGTTTCAAATAATGTCTATTAACCCTTTGGCTACGGCTGAGCTGGACGTAAAATTTTACTGCTGTAAGCGTAGCTTTGTCGTTGAATACACATGGATACGCAATGAACAATTGTAGCGCAATCGACATTTGTTACTCGAACAATGCAACTTATTGTATCTTTGTTAGCAACAGCTAATCAATAAAATTTTTATTCAAAATGCCGAAAAAAACAAACAAACAATTGTTTGATAACGACATCACTGCTATTCACTGGGTCTCAATATAAACTTTAGAAGAGAATGGTGTTTCGTCCTAAACAATCACTGAACAAGAAACCACGTAACTGAGAGAAAAATTATCTAAAAATCAATAAATATTTCTTTGATGGGTGCCATTAATATATTACATTAATATACACACACACATATATATATATATATATATATATATATATATATATATATTAATATATTTACATAAATCTAAATTCTCTTTATTTAAATCAAATATTGTTTACCTGATTTAAGTAAACAATATTTGGTTTAAATAAAGAGAATCTAGATTTAAATAAATATGTTAATGGCATCTATCAAAGAAATATTTGTTAATTTTTAGATAATTTTTCTCTCAGTATAATAGCCAAAGGGTTAATACGGATCTTAATGAACCAAATAAGCAATAAGGAAGAAGTATCAGAGATAAAGTACGTGTAAATAATATACATTCAAAGCGACAAGTTTTCAATGAAAAGTATCGATCGTGTAATTAAAACAAGAAGAAAGAAGAGAGAGAGAAAGGAAGAAAAGAAAAAGGCGCACACTTTCTTCGACACGGCCGCTTAATATCTATTAATCACAGGTCAATTTAACGCGTCGTCGACGTCACGCGTGATTCACGTGTGTTTCGTTAGGAGGTCGACGTGGGAGTTAAGCGTTATCTACGATCTAAAAGTAGAATTCCAGCCGGGGGGCTTGAAAGCGCGCTCGCGTGGGAATCATTAGAACGCCAGAAGAGGAGGGCTCGTAGTACCGGCACTCGAAACCACGACAGTTTAATTCAATTTACGCCGCTCGCGCGGTCTTATTGCCTAGCGCGAATTTAAACTACCCTCCCCACGGGGGAGGAACGACGATGTTCGCGAGCGACCCGATCCCCCTTTAACCTCTGAGCTCTGGTTTCTTATTTTGGAAATTTAGTGTTGTCTACCGAACAGATAGTTTTTATTTTTTAGATATCTTTCTCTCTAGAAGTGCTCTGTTGAGCGACGCGGAAATCAATCAAAATACTTTTATGTTCAGAGATACTGTATGTCGAATACTTAACCCTCTATCTATCAATCTTGTTCCCTAAAGATACAACTTTTTTTACTTTTACTTCATTAAATACATTAATGTATAATATAGTTTTAGCAAAACAACTGAAAGTTTGATATTTGGCGCTAAAAAGATAGGGCTAGACACTGATATTTTTGGGAAAGCAAATTTGTCCCAACGCGATAATAAGTGGAGTGACAGCTGACGTGTTTTGAATCCCAGAAAAGATGTTTATTCAATCGAATAAGATTATTATTAATAATGGAAAACATAGGTTCCGACATATCACGTAGTAAAAGGGTTAAGGATACGCTGGCACTCAAAATATTAATATTCACGTTTCGTCGGCTCATTTTTTGCACATTCGCGGATATAATTTGCGTTGCTCAGTTGTATTCTGCCTCCCGTATCAGCGCCCGGCGCGATCTCGCATCGTTTTGCGAATATTTATCACCGGGTCTGCCCTTTATTTTCGCCAGATAATACATTGCTCGCTAAAAAAACGATCGTTCGCCGGAAAATACGTAATTTACGTTGATCCGATCGCCGCTTCCGATAAGCAACACGGTTTTTCGCATTTTCGCTTAAGCTCGCTCCATTAATCGTGCTTTGTTTAATTTGCATCGGCCGGCCAGCCCGACGTAGCGTCGCTGCGCATTTAATAACCCGTGCGCCCGCGCGAGCTCGGTTTTCCAATCGAGTCTTGTTAATTGTACCAATTTACATTATCGGGACGCGTTATCACGATCTCATCCGGCACAGGAAGAGAGGAGGAGAGAGAGAGAGAGCCAGCCGCTGGCGGCCGTAAAAATGCGTTTATAACGAAGGATGTTTCATATTAACCACTGAAAATCTGCGGCCGTTTGTATGGGAGAGATTAATACGCGTTGTATATAAAAAGCCAGAACAAAGTTTGAACTTTTGTAATTTTTATTTGTTTCCTCTTTTTTTACAAAACAACGCATATTTACTCTAATAAATTTGTCAAATAAGAAAATATCTGTTAGATAAGAAAACATACTTTTTTTTAAATCTTAGCTTTTCATGAAAATAATTGTTTATTCTATTTAAATAAAAGAAGTTTCAAGTAAATATATGTTATTAATATCCATCAAATAGGTATTTATTATTTTCTGGATATTTTGATTTTGTTGTCGTCGTCGTCGTATTCTTTATCAGTTTTGTAGTGAAATCTTACAATATTAACGCGTCTCGAGAGAGTATCTTTTAAATCGACCTACAGGTCGCCCTTTGAGCAAAAGGTGCACAAAACTAACGCGACAAAAGAGCACCGCGAAGTTGCGTGGTAGCTGACAAGCATATTAAATCTCTCCCGGCTTTCTTGGCGATTCCGCGCACGAGTCCGCGGCGTATTACAATATCTAATGTCTCCGGGCGCAGGAACCAAATTAATTCGAGCCGGATATCGGTCAACTACCGGAAATTCCACGGACGGTGGAACGTGCTGGCGGCGGCGCGACGTCGGAAAGACGGCGGCGGCGGATCGGCGCGATCGTTGCGGAAGCGCGCCTTCTGCCATTTATCGCCGATCGACGAGATTTCCGGGACGTGGTCGACCTCGAAATGGCGAGTTTAGCCGAGGCTGCTTTAACTCTAAATTTTGTACCCTGTGAGATCGCCGATCCCCGCAGACCGGGCTTGTAATTTCCCGTCGCGTTTTAAACTTCCTTTTCGCATGCAAGTATTTTTTCTTATCGTCTCGTTTGTCTCTTTTGATTCTTTTCACTGATTATTGCGGCGCCTTAATCTTTCCCATCCGCCGAACGGACAGAACGCATTGAATCTTTGCGAAACCAAGCGTTCAGGTGCCATTTGACCGAGCTCGCGCGCAAATCTTATGCAAGCTGAAAAGTTAATGAGAAAATGTTCTTCGCCGTGGCCGATTTTATATGGCGCGCCTGTGGGTTTGAGAGTTCATTACGCTAGATTTGTGGAAACCGTTATGGGACACAGACCATCCCCAACCTAGTGAGTAGTTTTCGAGTAGTACTCTCTCTCTTTTTCCACTTTCCTTCTTCTGCGCAGGGAGCTGTCTGTAGAATTTTACACGAAGTCAGTCGAGTACTAAATAATTCCAAAATACTTTTCAAGAACAGTTTAACATAGAGAAAATGGCATCAAGTAGCCACTTATTGCATGAGGATAGGACAAGTCTGCATAGTGTTTATTTAGTTTAACGGGATTTGTAATAGAACCAACACTCTTTTAACAATCTTTTAAACTCGGCAATGCCAAGAATTATTTGACGTCTTAAAAATTCGAAAAATCGTACGAAAGAGTGGAAATCATTCGATTCCCACTCTTTCTTACTTTTTCCACGACTGTGATAATAATCATGATACTAATCGCTCTTTACAAATGCGACTATAATTGCAAAATCGTCCTATGTCAACGCTAAATATTAAAAAAGAAAAAAACAAATCGATCCTATTATGCGAGTGTCCAAAACTGCCTTTCGCAATTTACCTGCCGATATCTCAAGCACCTTCCTGCTCCAAGAACGGAACATTATCTGATCCAAGAGCATAATGTTGTCTAAGATAACCTAACACTGAAATATCTTCTGTTTCAGAATTTAATCGTCACTTTTCCCACGTTCTCGATAGGATGTCATCGCGAGCACCGCGCGGCGCGACGGAAAATGTGCGATGAGATCATCCTAAGGGGCCAAGCCGGCGGCATTCCCTACGCTGACGAGGATGCGACCGGCGCGGACGTTACTGCTCGTCCGATCGCTTCATGGCTCACGTCGAAAGGTTTAATGAACGCCGAAGAAGACTCGTGCTCGCGAAACGTGCAGAGCTTCACGACCTTCCGCGCTTCCGGTCCGTCGGGCATCGCAAGGAGGGAATTACCGACGCCCGACGACGGCGGCGGCGCGATGTCAAATCGACGGGAGTCGCCTATGCAGCGCCACGCGCGACAATCGTCCGTCCTGCCGAAGAGGGATCGGCACGAGGGAGCAACGATTGAGGTTGAGAGCACGTTGCAGCGTTACGAGAATGCGGTACTGAAGTACCAAAAGCCGAAGCTGCGACCCAAACGACAGATCAGTCGAGAGCACCAACAGCAGCAGCAGCAGCAACAACGGCAGCAGCAAAGCAACAACTACTCGAGCAGCGATGAGAGCGTCGCGAGGAACAAATCGAAGAGCACTAGTTCGATCGACACCCAGTCAGTGAACAACATCTTGGACGAGTATGAGGACCTGGATTACCGTCGCTCGTCGGATCTCAGTGACGTCGGCAGTATCAACGTAACAAACTTCGAGGCGGTGATGATGGACCAACAAAAGCGACAGCAACAGCAACAAGGAAAATCAAAGTCTTCCGGCACAAAACTCCAAACCAAGTCTATCCCGACGAGGGAGAAAATTCAATCTGTTCTGAAGGTAAACCAACAGACTCAGGTGAGGCAACGCTCACGGGATCGGCAGAAGGATCCGGGCAAAGGACACCAGCACGTCGCGACCGAGACGATGACGGCCCCGGACGCGGTCGAGAGCAGTCGCACGAAGATGCCGGAAATTCTGCTGCGCAAGGGCGAAGTTCAAAAGCGAGTGGACGAGTGGCTAAATCAGGCGCACAGCCAGAACTTCCCGGTGACTCGCGAGAAGGCTCTGACGCGATCCAACAGCAGTGCCGAGCAAAAGAGCCAACGCAGGTACCGACAAGACTCAAGGTCCAGGTCGATCGACGAGGCACGGGAGCGGCTAAACGGCGCCTCGTCCAGCTACGATGACCTGAGCCGTATGGATCGCAAGGCGGACAAAGGAAGGTTGGACAAAGTAAACGTCGGCGTGAACACGAGCCGGGCTGTCTACAAGGAGTACTTAGCCGTGAAGAACAGGGCCAGACACGATTACGGCTTCGGCGCGTCGAATGCGTCGTCCTCACGATCCGGGGATTCCAGCCCAGCTTCGAGGATCCCGCAGAGGGGAGCCCTCGGCTCGAGTTTCAGGTCCAGACGCGTCGACGCGGCCTCCGAGGAAACGCTCGACGAGCGAAACGGCCGACCGACGACCAGCAGAATGACGAATTTGGCGAAGACGAGAAGCGAGTCGGATTACGGCCGCCTTGCGACCGTTAATAGCTCGAGGGTGTCTGAGGCGCCTGCCGTCGCGACGATCACGACGATCACGGCGACGACGGTGGCGGCGGCAACAATGGCCACGACTACGTCTGCGTCTATGACTACGACTACGGCGACAGCGTCGATTATTCCCTGCAGGAGGCCGTCGATGAAACGCACCGGGAACGGCGATCAGAACGCGGCGGCGCGCTCGCTCGTTAAGGAGGAGACGGAGTCGCATCCACGCGGGGCATGCGGCGCGGGCCCCTCGAAGGGCCTTGGTGACCAAGGCGAGTCGATCTCACCAAATAAGGACGGAGAAAGTAGGCGGCCGGTCGCGGCGAGCGGGCCGCCGCGGCCCGCCGATAAAGCGGTCGAGGCGGCCCGCTGTAAATCCACGGAAGCGCCGAGGTGCGCCGAGCATCCTCGAGACGGCTCGAGGATCGCCTCGCCGACGGAGGAAACCGGCATCGCGATCGAGTGCTCGCGACGCCGACCTCAGACAGCCGACGTCCGCAGGGAGGCGAGAATCGATCAGTCGCGGCAAGAAAACGCGATCTACGGCGCGGTTGGTGCTCGAGTACGAGCTCTTCAGGCGCAGGCGGAGTCGCGCACGCCGCGATCCAGGTGTCAGCAGGTCAGCGGGGCGACGATAGAGAGCAAGAGGCTGCCGGTCCTGCCGCGCAAGGACCACGGCGCGTCCCCGTCGAGGGACATCGCGACACCGAGCCGGGCAAAGGTGCCGGCGCCTTCGTCGAGCTTCAAGCCAAACAATCGAGTCTACACTTCGGCGAGCCTGCAGCAGCTGAACGAACGGAACGTCGCGAGGTCCAAGGTCGCGACCTGCGAGCCGAGCCCGCTCGGCAGGACACGCGGCTACTCGAACCCGTCGGAGCACGTGGAGAGGATCTATGAGCGCACTCTACAGCCGCAAGTGATACACGCGGACGACCTCGAGTCGGTGCTACGGCCGGCGCTGCAGATGTCGGCTTACGGCAAGAAAGCCGCTGCCAGGGAGGGCCGGCAGTCGCCCGTGAAGGAAACGCTCTCGGGCAAACTCGAGAGCGAGTTGCTCGAGAGAGCCGGCGAGTCGCGGCATCCGGAGCATCTCGAGACTATCGAGGAGGATGATCGGAAGAGCGAAAGTTCGAGCTGCAGGTACCCCGAGATCGGGCTCAAACAGTGTTTGAAGGTGCAGCAGAGTCTGGCGAATGGTAGATCGAAGGAAACGCCGGACAAGAGGAAAGACACCGCGATCTACGCCAGGTGGGACCGGCAGGTCGTTCTCAACGAGCCGGTCAGGATCTTTACTACCTTCCAATCGACACCGCTGAATCAGGGTAGTGCGAAGTCGAGCGTTTCGTCTCGATCTTCGGAGATCAAGGAATCAAAAGGCCATGAGGAGCTCGGGCAAAAGTTGGAAGAACCGACAATGATCCCCGAGGAGCACCTCGGACTCGATTACGAGGACGCGTCGCGCCAGGAGCAGGACCGACTGACAATACATTCGCGCGAAAATAGCAATCTGTCGACCGCCACGATTCCCGTGGATGAGTTGGAGAGCCAGCGGGGTTCAAAGCTCAAGACTGACGAGGATCCTCCTTCAAGCGGATTTCAGGCCGAAGAGAAGCCTCAGGGCCGCACGACCGAGGAACCCGCGAAGGACGTGGACCGCGGCGCGGTAGTTAGCGAGGTTCTTGTTAAGAATCTGCAATTCGAACAAGATCTGCCGACGGATCAAGCCGAGCAGCCGCGAGCGGATCACGCGGTACAGCAAGTGAATTTTCGCAATGTGTTGTGCGACGATTATGAAAATGACGGCGGGCGAAAGGATAGACAGGTGCACTTGACGAAAGAGCAGACGGATCACCAGAGATTGATAGCTATGCTGAAGAAAGGAGACTTCGAGACGCTGAGAATGGTGAGTTCCTTGCGATATTTTGTGCGGATTCTTGATCGAATTCGAGACGCGCGAATTCAACGGTGACTTTACGTGACGAACGAACATGTAATTTTGCGTATCAGTCGAATGTTAAGTTTACATTCGAGAGGCGACTCTCAATCGCTATCTAATTTAGTGCAACAACTTGAGTGGCAAGTGAGGAGCGGCAATAACTCTTGCTACAATTATCTTTTCTCTTTGCATTTCAAATGTGTGCATTGAGAAAAAAATATTTGAAAATTTTTTTGTAGCATATGTAAAGTTTATTTCTGTGAATAAACTATATATCCCACAAAAAAATGTTCAAGTACCAGAGAAAAATTGAGAATAATTTGTCAAATTGAAAATTTGAAAAATTGAGGATATTGTCTATATGCATCTCGTAACATTACTCGGGTCCGTATATCTTACAATACTAGATCGTTCTAAGTTTACATTCAGAAAAAAAATACTTGAAAATTTATTTGAGGAATATAAAGTTTGTTTCTATGGAGTAAAGTTTATTTATGCGAAATATAAACGTTTTCTATGAATGTTTATATCAGAGTAAAAATACATTAAGAAAAAATAATTAAAATTTGTGTGTGCATCTGTGTGTGTGTGTGTGTGTGTGTGTGTGTGTGTGTGTGTGTATGTGTATGTGTGGGATAAAAATTTATTTCACAAAAATATAAACTTTATATCACTAAAATCAAATTTATAGCACAGAAGTATAAACTTTATATCCTATACAAATAAATGATCAAGTATTTTTTTTTCAGTGTAGATTTTTTCTAAACAATTTTGTTAAGTTGCTACAAGCGTGTCTTTTTCTCTGTGTGCATAGCAAATAAACATCAAGTTCCAAGAGTTCGTTCCATACCTTGGAATGGAATTAATGGAACTTTCGAATATCACACGGGATCACGGCAATACGTTTTGTCTTCGTGTAACCGACGAGAGCACGTAAAAAATGAATTGCCCCGTACGATCGGCACATATTCATCAGCGGTGATTTACATTGGTTGTAAAAAGCAAACCGACAAAAAAAAGAGAAAATAAAGAGCGGACGCCCGCGGTCGAAATTCAATCTCCCGGCGAATCGACACGACGAAATGCGCGGTTTGGTCTGCTATCGATTGTTTCCCCGCCGCGAACTATCTCGTTTTAATCGCGATAAAACTTGCCGACAAGATATGCCTGACAGTAAGCCAATAATTACGCTCGCTGCTACACGATACGCGCGACGAATCTGCGGCTCTTTCGGTAATTACAAGCCCGGAGTATAATCGAGGTTGCTCGTTTCGTTCGGCTCTTTATTTCGATCTGGCAACAAATACGGCCAAATTGCCGTTACACAACGCCCCAATGCTGTTTACGTGTCGCCGCGTTGTCAATGAACGGCCTGTTATTTCCGCACGAATTTTAACTTCCTGCATCCCGGCGAAATAACGAATGGAGCTAATGGAGATAATGTCGATAGGATAGATACGACAGTGCGATGTTTCGCGGCGCCGAGGTATTCATTATCGTATGAAAATTGTTGAGAACGGCCACAACTGATGGATATTTTATGTTAGCGCCATGAAAAGAATATAAGTATAGATTTTTTCACATTAATTCTTTCCAATATTTTATCATGTTTTTTGTACTGCAGTAATAGATTATCGATACACGAAGAGAATTTTATAGTAAAAATTACTATAGGATTTTGTAACCAAGAAAGATCGACCAAGATAGATCGACATTCTGCAGAAATTCACTATCCTTTCGTTTTTCATATGTTCTATTTATATTTTAGAAACTGGAATGTGCTTTAAAATATTTGCTGTGTTTCTAGCAAAATTTATTATGTACCTTATCAAAATAGATCTTACTAATAGTCTCTATGTCTGGATTACTAAAAATAGTAAAATTTTAGAATTTATATTATGAAAAAAGGAATTATAATATTTTCTCAAACTTTAACTCTCCTAAAGAATAATAAATAAATAAATGAACTTATTTATTTATTTGTTTTTCTTTTTTTATACAAATATTGTGTATCCCTTCTTCTTTTTCTTAAAAGAGACGTTTCCCGCTAGTAAATAAACAAAGAAATATATTTATTTATTGGCTAGCGGAAAATGTCTCCTTAACAAAAAGAGAATTTGTAAAAAAAAAAAAATAAAAATAAAATGATATAAAAACAAAATAGGGCAGAATATGTTCCTCGGTTGTAAAATTTAAAATTTTAAACCTAATGATATAAAAAATTAAATAAAATTAAATATTCTGTTTGTGTATATTAAAAAAAATAAGGAATATAATAGCTAATGTTAGATTGTAATTTCGGATGTAATGTCTGATATAAGCGCAACGAGAATCGCATCCCAGAAAGTAGCCAATTTTTCCCGAGCAAAGTGACAACTGACGATTATAATTTAATAGCGTCGCTAATCACAGTTTATCTCGAATCGGTTAATCACTTCCACAGTTATTTTTAAGAAGAGTCAGATGTGTTGCGTCGTGTCACACACCGGACTGCGCGTGTGTTTATGCACACCGTAGAAAATATGGTGCTGACGAAGTCGACCCGACACCTTGTACACATGAGAGATGTCGTCGACGGAATAAGCGGTAATCACGTGCCTCTTAGTAACGTTAGTTGTCATAAAAGAGAACTGTAGTGTAATGTAATTATCAAGTTTCGCGTCGCGGTCGTCGTAAACGTGATGTAATGGGGTTGCACGCGCGTGTCTCGGTATATCAAATTTTCCCCGAGAGAGTAATATTTCATTTCCAGCGGAATGAGGATGCGGAAGAGGATAATTCACAGGACTCTGACGCGGAATACGGGGATGCGTAAAAAAGCAATGCCGACCGGCGGCGCCTGCGTCGCCTAACGTCTGGTTTTTTAATATCGATATCGACAGTGTGTTATTGTATTTTTAATATTATTTATGGAGAATAGAAACATATTTTTTTTTAATATCTACCCTTTCAAATAATTAACTTAATATCTATCTTTTTAATATTCAAAGGGAGAGAGACAGAAAAATTTCCAATTTATCAAAAAGATTATGACATTTATCCACTCGAGATCTCTTTAACATTTAATTTAATATCTATTCTTTTTCAATATTTTTCATATCTGTATAGAGAGAAAGAAAAAGTTCAATATATTGGAAAGAGCAGTTTCAATATCGCGACATTTATTCATTCAGTTTTCTATCCGTTTTTACGTGAATGTCTTCGAAAGACACAACAAGAAGAGAAGGGAACTTCAAGTTCGAAGTGCCGAGAGCAAGAGCAAAAATTGATTTCGAAAACTCGGGAAAAAATGTTTTGCAGTCTGCTGCATGTCAACACGGAGGAACGTGCTTTCAACAACAGCAGCCTGCCTTTGACGCAAAAACATCGTCCTTGTTTGGAAGCCACTAGCTGCGTAGCGATATATTGCAGGTGCTCGGCTGCACGCACGTGGTCGTACACACGCGTCACGAATGGAGCGCATCGTAAACAGGCGGAGGGTAAAAGCGAGCAGTAGAAGCGCGCGTGTACGCGCAGAACGCAGATTTAAATAGCGCGAACGAGCGGCGAGGACTCGCGCATATCCCGATGCAAGCCTGGACATTGCTGCTCGTGACTGCTCTCTGCAAGAACGAAGAGAATCTCTCTCTCTCTCTCTCTCTCTTGCTGTCTTTCTATCTCTTTCTATCTTTTTCTGTCTCTCTCTGTCTCTGTCGACTCGCGTAAGAAGTAAGGATGACCGTGGTGGACCGTGGAGGACGAGAAGACGAGGTACAGCGCAAGAGTCGCGCGCGAGAGGAAAGGAGACAGCCGCACGATTTATGATTCGACCCAGCTGGGAACCGAGCATAAGGTATGCGGTTCATAGTACGCTTTAACGCGCAAGAAAGACGCAATAAATTGTTCCGCGCGTGCAAGTACGTCTCGACGATGGGCTTGGGGGGTAAACGCGAGACTCGCCCTTAACGAGGTACGCCGAGTACTTTTCCCCGCGACGTTGACCCTCAAGGACGCCGTGAACTCATTTTCTTCCGTCTGCGTTCCGCGTGGCCATGCAAATTTGGTTTAACGTGTCATCGCGCACCATGTCGACAGAGAACGAGGGAGATTTGCCGTTATTACGACGACATGAGCGAATGCGCCCTTGATATTTATCGCATATTGAATAATACGAAATGCAGAGTGACATTGAAAAAGCGCGATTAGGCGTGTAGCTTCCGAATATTTTCTAGATGCAAGAGACTTGGACGCATTTCGACCTTAACATTTAGAATCTTATTCGATTCTGACTTTTCAATTATTTTCTACTCTCGCCTAGAAAAAGAAAAGGCCTACCTTTATGATGACCAATATCCTTTTTAAGCGCAACTTTTTTCTATAAAAATTCTTTTAAATTTTAAAATTTTAATTACAAATGTTTTATCAACATTTGTAAAATTTCAATTTTCAATTTATATTTTCTAATGATACATAGACTGGCAGTAGAGTTTATCTTCCTAACAAACATACATAGAGAAAAAAATGTTTAAAAGATAAAAAATATTTGTTCATAGTAGATACTAATTACATATTCATTTAATCTAAATTTCTACATTTCGCGATCAGATTCGTATGCAGTAGCTAAAAATCCACAACAATTCTCAAGTCTCAAAGCAAATTTGATGTTGCTCAGTGTTATTTTTCTTTATGGCAATAGTGTTTGAAAAGTTGCCGTGGAAAACAAATATTTCGAAAGAGAGAGAACATATATTGACTTACTCGAAACAATCTCTTACTCGCCGTTAAATTATTCCCGAGCAGACGAGGGAGGATCGAACGAACACAAAGCCGCGATGTCGCGGAAAAGATTTAGAGCTTTTCATAAAGAGAGAGAGACCGTAGCGAAGCCGCCACGGGATCAGGAGGCTGCCACGGTAACGTTCCTCATTAAAATCACAAAGAAATAAGGGCGAATTCCCTTTTATACATCCGACATTATCGTAGACGGC